GTGTGTGTGTGTGTGTGTGTGTGTGTGTGTGCGTAGTTGCGCAAAATTTATTTTATGTAAATCAGTTATGAGATGAAAAAGGAATTATCAGTGTAAAAAAGCGATTATATTTTGCGACTCTTTTATGCTATTATAATTTTAGTAAACAGTAGCGTATAAATGCGTAAAAAAATATCTCATTTGTTTCGATGGTGTCGGTGTATTTAAGGATTAAATTCGGCAACTCATGTCTCTCATGTTCGCCGCAATGTGACACGATGTATACGATTGTTAAAGGTACTCATAACGGGGCCAGCAGAAACACCGTACGCAAACGGCTGTTTTGAATTTGACGTATACTTCCCTCCCGACTATCCTAATAGCCCAATGTTAATAAACTTAGAGACAACCGGTCGTCACACCGTGCGTTTTAATCCGAATTTATACAATGACGGAAAGGTCTGTCTCAGCGTACTAAACACTTGGCACGGTCGGCCCGAGGAAAAGTGGAATGCTCATACAAGTAGTTTTCTTCAGGTAAGTTCTCTCTCTTTCTTTCAGGCAGAAAATCAGACTTGTTGCATTAAAATTTATCCGGTAATATACCCAAAATTCAATCTTGCACTGAAATAGATTTTTTTAAAGAATTTGAAAATTTTAAAACAAAAGACTCAAATTATAACATTATTATAATTCTGTTGAATATAGGTTTTGGTATCGATACAATCGCTAATCTTGGTATCCGAACCCTATTTCAACGAACCTGGATATGAACGATCACGGGGCACGTCGAGCGGTGCTCAATCTAGTCAAGAGTACAATGCGAATATTTGTCAGGCTACCGCCAAATGGGCAATGCTCGATCAAATTCGCAATCCTTGTCCATGTTTCAAGGAGGTATGTATATAATAAAAATGGCCTTTAAAAAAATGTCCGCTCCCCCCTATTTAATAAGTGTGTCTCCATTCTTATTATACATTTACTCCAATGTATAAATCGAATATGATAATATTGTGTATATATATATATATA